GCCACAGAAATAAGTTTTGCTCCTGCTGCCGCACCCGCGGCACTCTTCATGCATGACCACTGCAGGTTCTGTGCACGCTGCAGGTTCTCGCTTACACTGAGAGCACGTGTGCTTAGCTTTCCCTTCTTACGCGGCGGTCTTGTCACCTCGCTTCTCCTCCTGCTTTCTCAGGAATTTCCTGCTATATTGTACAACATTCACTTATCAAAGAAATAAGATGTTAGTAAAATACAGTATTGAATATGGAATGAGGGCTTAGAACAGACATTTCCCCATCTGCTGTTTACTTGCTTACAAAATCTCAAAGAAGGGCCAGCCAGATAACTCACTGGACTAAAGTGCCTGCTTAGACAGACTGAGGGACAGGGACCAGTCCCGGGTGTGTCATACTGGCCCCACCCCCGGTGCGCTGTGAGACAGCGACTGAGATTGGGTGTGATGGCGTGCGCCTGTAATCCCAGCACTTGGGATGCTGGAAATAGGAGGATCACTATGAGTCTGATCTGTGTAGGGAGACCCTGTAGACCCTGTACTAAATACATTTTTTTAAAAAGCTTTAAAAAATGCCTAGAAGAGAACCTCAAAAATAAAAAGCTGTGTGAACTACAGTGGAAACACAAACAGAAGTCTACCACAAGGCCGGGGAGATGGCTCAGTGGAATAAGCGCTTCCTTGGCAAGCGCAAGGGCCTGAGTTCAATCCCCGGTTCCACAAAAAAAACCAGAAGTCTACCACAGACATAAGCCTTGCTTTCACTGTCACACCCCGGGCAGTCTTCACATGTGACAACTTCTTGTTCCATCCACAAGTATCACGTACACTTATAGCATATATGTTTATGTGTGTCCTTTTTGTAGGACGCAGTTGACATCTTTTATTGTTTTCCTGTTGTCACAGTAGCTCTTTGTGGTGTTGCACCTGCCTGTTCACCTGTCAGCTCTCCAGCGTACTCCACAACGTTTTGTGTGTAGTTCCCTGAGCAGGAGCATTTTGTTTTTCCTGTGCTGTAAATG